TTAGGGTTTAGGTTTCGGGTTTAGGGTTTAGGGTTTAGGGCTCTGTAGTCCCTGTTGCGGGTAGTTCGCGTGGGGGGGGGGGGGGTTGGTTCTAGATTTTTTTTTTGGGATTTGCTCTTTTATTGTTTCTGCTTCAAGGGCCTAGGGTTTTGGGTGAGTGGTGGTTCAGAGTTGTCTGTTCGTGGTTCGTGTGCGCATGGTGCAGCTCTTCTCTGTTGGCGTAGGATCTTAAGCCGTAAACCCCAATGTCACCCCCCAAACTTCAAAAGCCCGAAACTGCAAACTTCAAATCCTGACCCCCAAGACCCTAGAATCTGATAACCCCAACCACGCTAAAAACCCTAAACCCCGAAGTACCAAAACCCTGCATCGATAAACTCCTTGAACCGTGAACCGTGAACCGCCAACCCCAGCAAAACGACCTTCCGACTCTGAGCTTTATATCTTAAGGACCCACCCAAACCTCAAAACCCAATGGCCAAAACCCCAACTCCCTAGAATAAACTCCCTAAACCCTAAACCCTCAACCCTCAACCCTCAACCCTCAACCCTCAACCCTCCACCCTCGACCCTCAACCCCCAACCCTCAACCCTCAACCCTCAACCCTCAACCCTCAACCCTCAACCCTAAACCCTAAACCCCAATCCCAAAACACTAAAGGGCCATCAAACAGAAGCCCGCTGAGCCCCAAACCCCAACAACCCAACCCCAAACCCCACAGCGCACAAAGCCCAAAACTCTTGAAACATTGAACCCTAAACACTACACCCAAAACCCTAAACCCTTAACCCTACACCCTAAACCCTAAACCCTAAAAAACCACACCCGTAACCCTAAGCCCTAAACCCTAAAACCCTGAACCCTCATAGAAGCCGAAGCCCGACCCCCGCCCAGGCCGCCTCCGCCACCCGGACCCCCAGCTTCTCAGCAGAAAATTTCCAGAGCTTTGGGTTTAGGGTTTCGGGCTTAGGGGTTTAGGGTTTAGGGTTTGGGAGTTTAGGGTTTAGGGTTGGGGTGAGACTCATGCAAGAGGCCAAAGAGAAGTCAGCCCTCCCCCCCGTTGCGCCGCCCTCGGCCGAGCCGGCGCCAAGTGAGGAGAAAGAGAACGAGGCTGTGGAGGATCACCCGGACGAAGTCAGCATTGGTCCTGGTATTGCCACGGCAGAGGACACTCACAGGTCTCGATCGACAGGCTTCCTTCCCTCATCTGAAGCATCAGATGCCGGACCTGATCCGGGACTTGCTTTACAAGAACCCAGACGACAACAAGTTCCAGGGCTTGCTGGATGATGCCATCATCCGCTTCTCAGACTCAATTAATTTGCACTGCTTGTGTGTCCGGAGCCCATGACAAGTGGGGTTTAGGGTTTAGGGTTTAGGAGTTTAGGGTTTAGGGTTTAGGAGTTTAGGGTTTAGGAGTTTAGGGTTTAGGGTTCAGGGTTTAGGTTGTCAGGGTGTAGGGGTTTAGGGGTTTACAGGGTGTCAGGGTGTAGGGTTTAGGGTTTGGGGTTTAGGGTGCCAGGGTGTCAGGGCTAGGGTTTAGGGTTTAGGGGTTTAGGGTGTCAGGGTGTAGGGGTTTAGGGGGTTACAGGGTGTCAGGGTTTAGGGTTTGGGGATTTAGGGTGTCAGGGTGTAGGGTTTCGGGGTTTTGGGCGTCAGGGTGTAGGGTTTCGGGGTTTAGGGTGTCAGGGTGTAGGGTTTAGGGTTCAGGGGTTAGGGTGTCAGGTTTTGGTAGTTACCAATAATTTCCCTCCCCCCCCCCCCCCCCCCCCCCCCCCGCCTTGGAAAATAGAATTGACCAGGTACCCACTCTAATTGAAGAGGCCACTGTATGACACAACCCTAAGCCTCAAAATCTGAAACCTTTTACGGACCCAAGCTCGTCTTCCTACACCCTGCATCCCTTAAACCCTTAAACCCCCAAACCCTTTAAACCCCTAAGCCCCTTAAACCCTTAAACCCTCAAACCCTTAAACCCCAAAACCCCGAAAACTCCTGAAACCCCTAAACCCTTAAACCCTTCAGCCCTTAAAACCCGTAAACCCCCCCCCCCCCCCACCCCCCCCAAACTCCGAAAACTCCTCAAACCCGACATCTTAAGAGCCTTAAAACCTGAACCCTAAACCCTAAACCCTAAACCCTAAACCCAAAATCCTAGAAGCCCTGAGCTGAGGTGGAAAGCATCTGAGACCCAGCCAAAGCTGTTTTCAAGGGCGACTTGACTTGGAGGTTTAGGGTTTAGGGTTTAGGGCTACAAGGGCCTTTTTAAGGAGTTCATAGGGTATGATAGCCCATGCAGCTGGAGGGCGGTTTTAGGGTTGACGGTATCCTTGGAGGTTTCAGGGGGTAGTGATGATTCAGGTGAGAAGCCGGAAAGTTGTCGTGGTATTAGGTATAACTTCAAGTGCCGGTGAGCGAGTAGAGGCTTCGGGTTTGGATGGAGAGTTTGGGGCTCCCCCCCCCCCCCCCGGCGCCCCACGCCCGCCCCCCCCGCCCCCCCCGCGCCCCCCCCCCCGACCCCACCCCCCCCGCCTCCACCCCCCCACCCCCCAACCCCACCCCCCCCCCCCCCCCCCCCCCCCAAACAAAAAGAGCAAAAAACCAAACGACTGATACTCTGAATCCTTGAGCGGCTAAATCCCATTCATCGCTTAAAGCCACTTCTTCCCCTGGTTGAAGGTCCTTAGGCAGCGAAGTGCTTCTTCGTTAAGGGTTAAGAATTAAAGTAAAGATTTCGGGTTTGGGCTCAAGGCTCTTGAATGCAGGAATGGAATTTCCTCATCATGTGATGAGGAGTACGAGCATTCCTCTCAGATAGGGAGTGTTGAGCTTTCTGGTAGGCAGGGATGCAAGCAAGAAAGCTGCACATGTAGCCCTGCTCAAGGTACACATCTTCGTGTAACTCTACCCCAAGGTACAAGTCATCACATACGCTCTTGAAGGCACACGTCGTCACATAAACCCTACTTCAGGTACACGTTGTCATATAACCTTCTGGTACATTGCATCATATGTGTCATCATATAAGTCATAGAACCCTTACTTTTTACTACCCATGAGCTTTCGCTGAAACCTGAGGCATCCATTTCTGCTGGATCTCGGCCGTAGCGACTGGCTGCGAACCGCGGGCAGGGACAAAAACCGGTGGAAGTTGTAGGGCCTGAGAGATTCGCGTCTAGGATTCGGATACGGGGTATGTTGGCCCTGAGCCCTGAACCTTAAACCTTCAGCCTGAAAGCAAAGAGGCCCCTGTACCTTACCCGCGAAACTTAGGGACACTTGGAAAAAATCAGCTAAACTTATCTTCCGGCAGTGCCCAGTCTGCTACTTGGAGGTTCATGGCACGTAACTCAACCCATCATAATTGCGCTTATAAGCCACTCACATAAGCCCCTTAAGTGCCCTTATATGGTTTTTGTTGGGTTTTCAGTACAGTGATGATGCGTTAATAAGTACCATGAACCTCCAAGCAGCCCCTCAGGCGGGTTTAATACCCACAGACGCGGGCTTCATTGCTGGTTAGGGTTTAGGGTTTAGAGTTCGGGTTTAGGGTTTAGGGCTTAGGGTTTAGGGTTTAGGGTTGGGGTTCAGGGTTCGGGGTTGGTGTATATCAGTATATCTCTGTCAGATTAGAACGTTCGGCACTGTTGTGCTTCTTATTTCGCACGGACCATTCTTATTCTTATGGCAAGTGTCCGTGCTCCATCGGCAGCAGTCCCTATGACTCTTGATTGCTGCCGCTGAGCAAGACCCTGAACCCTAAACCCTGAAATCTCTCCGTCCGTGGCCACCGGCTTGCTCACTCAGGCCAGGTGCAGAAACCAATACCACGCAAGCACCGTAACCTTCAAGCTTCGACATCTTTAGGGTTTAGGATTTAGGGTTTAGGGTTTAGGGTTCGGAGACTTTAGTTTTCACGGCTGTCCCTTTCAGACCCTAAGTCATTCCTAAACCCTGAACCCTAAACCCTGCACCCTTTCAGCCTTTCCGCCTGATTGCTCGACCCTGCTCTGAATCCTAGCCCCCAAAACTTTACATGGCCCGGGTGCAGCGGGTGAGCCGAAGCGCAGCAACTACTGGTGCCCAAACATATGTTGGTTTAGGGGTTTGGGTTTAATTATTGTTTAAGGGTTTAAGGGTTTAAGGCTGGAATTTAAGGGTTTATGGGTTTCAGGGTTTAGGGTTTAGGGTTTTAAAGGCTTTAAGGGTCTCAGGGTGCAGCGGCCGCCAGACCAAAACGTGCCCCCCATGCCATGGGGGCTGGGCGATAGCTGCCTTGCCAAGGCCAACCCCTGGTTGGTTCCAAATTCGGGCCCGGACAACCCTAACCGTACACCCCCAGTCGCCCTAGACTTAGACCCGAAACCCTAAACCGGAAAGCCCTAAAACCCTACGTAAACAAAAAATGGGCCCCGGATTTAGATCGGCTTCCAGCTGACAAGAGGATGTAGTCTTGGGCTCAGGGCGGGAACTGAACCCTTCAAAAAAGCCCTAGACTCCTCTTTTTCATGAACTCCCCCTCCCCCCCGCTAGGACAGAAGCCTGTTGTTCCTTAGAATGTGCCGTGCATGGAGTTATGACTGTAAGGCAGGGTTTTGGAGGTGTTTGTGCGCGACTGAGCTCGGGAAGATCTTACGACTACTGAAATGCTCTTAGGCATACAGATCTACGGCCATTGGAGTCTCATGGTACCTTGTGGTTAATCAAGCCAGCCCCAGACCCCAAGCAGTACACTAAAGACCCTGATATGCTAAACGCCCTGCAGTGTTGAGGGGGGGGGGGGATGCGCTTTCGTGCTCCCCAAGCCCTAAACCTTAAACCCTCAACCCTCAGCCCTAAACCCTCAACCCTACACCTTGAGCCCCAGGCCCTACTGTTTAGGGAAGTAAGTTTCAGGGTTTAGGGTTTAGGGTTTAGGGTTCAGGGTTCAGGGTTCAGGGTTTAGGGTTCAGGGTTCAGGGTTTAGGGTTTAGGCTTGACACCCCCGAAGCCTGCGGAGGTTTCAGGAGGTTCGCTGGACTGCCAGGGCCTGAACCAACCACAGGCGCCACGGGCCTTAGGGCTGTGCGGGGCTTAGGGTTGCGGGTTTAGGGATTAGGGTTTAAAGTTCAGGGTTTGGGGCCCTAAACTCAACCCTAAACCCTAAACCCTAAACGCTAAATTTTGACTTAGGGTTTAGGAAGTATAGGGTTCAGGGATGGGGGCTTATCAAATATTAGGGCATCTTTTTGTGGGTTTCTGCGAACGTATGTTGGTTATCATGAGTTTACGGGGCAAGGAAAGGGCCTACGCGTGGCAGGTTGGGGTCAAGGAAGTTTTAGGGTTTAGGCTCTAGGGTAACCCTAAACCCTAAACCCCCAAGCCCTAAGTCCTAAGCCCCAAACCTTCAGTCTGATGTAGAAGTTCATGTTGACTGCAGGCTTCTCATAGATCTCCTCGTGTTGAGGTTCGCAAGGAACCGCGAGTTTCAATGTTGGCATTGGGAAACCCAGGGTAGTTTAGGGTGTAGGGTTTTGGGCTGTAAAACTGTACGTTCCGCATCTCCCGCCTACTAGTCATATCCGAGCTTGTAAGTAGGATAGTTGAGGTCACAACGCAGTAATGGTGTTGGCACCGCGGAAGGGAACGACAGCATATGCTGACATGGGGGGTTTGCGATATGACCCCCAATATAGACCCCAAAATAGTAGGATCCCCTTATCGTAAGGACCCCAATAAGGTACCCTAATATCGTAAACCCCCAACCCTAAACCCTAAACCCTGAACCCTGAACTCTAAACCCTGAACCCACAAACCTTTCTGGGCAGGTTTGAGGGACCGTAGCTCTGACCGCAGAAGTCCCCTTGCGCGAAGGTTAATGCAACTTCACTGGAATGGCGTGGCCTGGGCCAAACACAGGTGAGCGGTTTAGGGTTTAGGGCCTAGGGTTTAGGGTTTAGTGTTTAAGGATTTAGGGTTCAGGGTTTAGGGTTTATGGTTTAGGGTTTAGGGTTTAGTGTTTAACGGTGTAGGGTTTATAGGGGTAAGTTTTACGGGTTTGGGCGCCAGGTTTCGAGGCATAGAACCCTAAACCCTGAAGTAAAACCCTGAACTTGGGATGTTCCCCCTTATACTAGCAGTCCTTAATCGGGATGACAGTACCCCCCTATGATAATCCCCACCAAAAGCCCTCAAACCCTATCTAGAAGCTGAGGCTTTGGAGTTTTAACGCTCACGGGCTGGGGAGGGGGAGGTTTAGGGTTTAGGATTTAAGGGAAGGGTAGCGTTTCTTTTGGAAGCTAAGCCCTAAATTTAAGAGCCTCCGGCTCAAGCCGCCGACCCCGCAGGAGAACAAGTTTAAGGTTTGGGGTTTGGTGGATTGGGTTTCGGTTCGGGGGGTGGGGGGGGGGGGTTAGAATTGTCGGAATGGGGGCGGGGGGTAGGGTAGGGGGGGGGGGGTGGGGGGGGGGGTAGGGGGGGGGGGGTTTTCCCAAAAGAGCCCCTATGCCCTGTGCGAAACCGCCTATGGTCCATGAGTTTACGCGGTGTGGGTGGCCTGTTCCTCCACGGAAAAGCCCGGGGTAAGGAGACAGAGGGAGGTTTTCACCTCCAGAAACCCATCCCACTCGCCTCTGAACCCTGAACCCAAAACCCTAAACCCCGAAACCCAAACTCTGTGAAGCCCAGAAACTCGACTCTTGAAGGCATCCTCAGGGATAGGTTTTATTCTTAACATGTGTCCCATTTTAATTTGGCTTTTTGTTGGGGGAGAGGAGGGGGTGGATCAGGGTTTGGGGGTTTTGGAAGCCTAAACCCTAAACCCTAAACTCTAAGCCCTAAACCCTAAACCCTGCTTTTTTGCTTGGAGCTCCGGCTTGAGGTTTGGGGGGTTCCGGGGTTTGAGGGTTGGGGTTCCGACTTGGTTCACGCGCAGATGGAGCTTCCCGGGTTGTGAGTAGGATTGAGGGTTCAGGGTTTTGAGTAGGGTTTGGGGTCTTGGGTTTAGGGTTATGAGTTCGGATGTTCCCCCTTATACTAGCAGTCCTTCATGGGGACTATAGGTACCCCGTATTATAGTCCCTATTAAGGACTGTTAGTATATCGGGGAACATCCTAACTTGTGTGTAGGGCTTAGGACTTAAACCCTAAACCCTACACCCTAAACCCTAAACCCTAAACCCTAAACCTTAAGCCCTAAACACTAAACCCACCCTAAACCCTAAACCCTAGGTCGTTCAGCTTTGTATCTGTGGCAGCCTTGCTTAGAAGTACCCACGAAGCCTGGCATCCGACATCGCAAGCCTCTGGCCCTAACCACTAAGCACCCTAAACCCTAAACCCTAAACCCCAAACCCCAAACCCTAAACCCTAAGCCTGAACAACCAAACCCTATGCAAACCTTCGTCCCAGAGTCCTTAACCCCTCAACCCTGTACGCCCAACACTCCCCGGAACCCCTAAGCCCTGAACCCCTATGCCTTAAAGGGTTTATTGAAATTATTAAGGGTTCAGGTCCGGGGAAGTTTCGAGGAGTTTCGAGGAGTTTCGAGGAGTTTCGAGGAGTTTCAAGGAGTTTCGTTTTTTTTTAGATTTTTCTTAATAATTTCAAGTTACAGGGGGCTTGAGGGTTTAGGGTTTAGGGTTTAGGGTCGAGGGCCCTTGACCCCCCTGCCGCCCTGAAAGGCCCGGGCCGTGCCAGCTTCGCTGTTGGAGGGGCCATGTCTCGCCACAGGCCTGTCAGGGTTTGGGGTTTAGGGTTTAGGGTTTAGGGTTTAGGGTTTAGGAAGTTCAGGAGGTTTAGGAAGTTTAGGGTTTAGGGATTAGGGTTTAGGGTTTAGGGATTAGGGTTTAGGAAGCTTAGGGTTGAAGAAGCTTAGAGTTTAGGAAGTTCAGGAGGTTGAGGAAGTTTAGGGTTTACAAAGTTTAGGGTTTTGGAAGTTTAGGAAGCTTAGGAGGTTCAGGAAGTTTAGGAAGTTTAGGAAGGTTTGGGTTTACGGTTTGGGGTTTCGGGTTCAGGATCCAGGGCCTATCGGGGTGATATGGGGTTTAGATATTATACGGTTTGGGTTCAGGGGGTAAGGTTTGATGGATACAGGGTTTCGGGGATATTTCTTTGTCTTGCGAGAGGCGTGCGCCTTAGTGAAGAATTGCGCGGGAGGACTCCTTCAGCTGCTTGGCTTTTCAGTTTAGGGCACTTTGTTGGCCCTTGCTGTCCTCACTTCCCAATTTGTGGCTGTTGGCTCCCAGGCGTCCAAGACCTCTTCACGCGAATGGAATCCATCTCCTTTTGGTTGGAGGCCCGGTTCCACTCCTTCTGGGTGTCCCGCATGGACATTGAGACCCAGACTAAGTTCGTGCACTACAAGGTCCTCCGCAAGCAGGACATTGTCTACTGGGACAGGGCTGGTGATGCAAACCGAGCCATTTACCCGGAGCCGAGGCTTTCTTTCAAGCCATGTGGGCCCTCCAAAAAAAATATGAATGCCTGAGCCCGAAACCCGAAGCCTAAACCCTGGACCCTGAACTTCAACTGTGAACTCCAAGACCTTAAGCCCCAGACTTGAAACCCCTAAACCCTAAATATCCCAGACCTTAAACCTTAAGCCCCCCCCCCTCCCCCCCTAAACCCTGAACCCTAAACCCAAAACTACATCCTAAACCCTGAACCCTAGACTACATCCCAAACCGCAAACTACATCCTGAACCCTAAACCCTAAACCCTAAACCCTAAACCCTAAACCCTAAACCCTAAACCCTAAACCCTAAACCCTAAACCCTAAGCCCCCCCAGACTTACCGATGGACGAGAGGCTCCTGTCGGCGGGCCCCCGGTCGGCTCACGGCGACGTGGTGGGCGGCCCAGCGACTGCGGGGGAGGGCGTGTAGGGTTTAGGGTTTAGGGTTTAGGGTTCAGGTTTACGGTTTAGGGTTTAGGTTTATGGTTTGGGGTTTAGGGGAATTGCGGTTCTAGGGGTTTAGGGTTTAGGTTTTTTGAAGCTGGTCCAGATTCTGCTATAGGGTTTTAGGGTTTAGGTCCCCGAAATACATACCCAAAAGGGCTGCCATGCAGCGTCCCCTCAACCCTGCACCCTAGACACTAAACCCTACACCCTAAACCCTAGACCCTCAACCAAGCACAAAACCACCGTTTCAATCTCTGGCACTGCAAACCTGCAGCCAGACTCTTCTTGAAGAGCCTAAAGGGGTTTGGGGACTCATGGGTTCAAGGGTTAAGGGTTTGGGGTTTAGGGTACCTTATTTGGGGTATCTTGGTCATCTTAAGCTTTGCGGGCTCTAGGTGCTTGCCCGGGATCTAGGAATCTATGTGTTCAGGGTCGTCTTGAAGGTCCATAGGTGTCAATAACCCCCTCTTCAAGGTTCTACGTCACCCAGCTACCCCAAGTTCCCAAACCCAAAGCCTTATCCCTTCTAAACCCTAAGCCCCACACCCCCTAACCCCCCAACAAAGGCTAAACCCTCCTCGAACTCTCAACCCTACCACCCCCTAGCCCTAAACCCTAAACCCTAAACCCTAAACCCTAAACCCTAAACCCTAAACTCTAAACCCTAAACCCTAAACCCTAAACCCCTAATCCCTAAACCCCTAAACCCCTAAACCCCTAAGCCCCAAGCAGGTCCGACTTCCTGGAGCGACCCCTCGGCCCGCGGCGTAGTCGACTGCCGACGGCGCTTGAGCAGGGCTGGATCGCTGCTGGGCTTAGGGCTCTTAGGGGTTCAGGGGTTGGGGGGTTTAGGGGTTTAGGGTTTAGGGTTACCTCAACCCTAAACCCTAAACCCTTAACCTTAAACCGGAAATCCTAAACCCTAAACCCCGAAACCCAAGGATTGGGCCAAGTCAAACCCACTGATGATGCTCGGCCTCGTGACGCCCATCTTCTCCATCGCCGGGGCAGCCATCACCGGTGCCCCGGCCTCTCTTGCGGGCGTCTTGAGGTTTAGGGTTTAGGGTTTATTAGGGTTTGGGGTTTAGGGTTTAGGGTTGAGGGTTGAGGGTTGAGGGTTCAGGATCTTTGGACCTTGGGGGTTAAGGGTTCGGGCTTTAGGTGTCTGTGGGCCTTGGTTTTCAGGGCTTTGGGTTTAGGAACCTTAAGCCCTGAACAAGTCCTCAGCCCCAAACAACCCGTATTAAGCCCCTCAACCCCTGAAACCCAAGACTCAACGGCCGAAACCGGGTTCTGGAGCATTGAGGCCAATGAACGTTGTAGGGTCTTCCTAAGTTCGTAGGAAGGCCCTAAACCCTAAACCCTAAACCCTACAGCCTAAACCCTAAACCCTAAACCCTAAACTGGGTCGAGGTGGTTGGTATCCCAGCGTCCCTTAGACCTGGAATTCCTTAGACTGTGAATCTTAAACCCAAAACCCTGCACTCAAACCCCTAAACCCTAAGCCTTACTGTGAACCCTAATCCAGCCCCAACCCCCAAGCCCCTCAAAGCTAAGCAAAAGACATCCTATGCAGGATCTTGTGAAGGTTCCGGGTGTAGGGTGTTGTTAGGGTTTGGGCGGTTTAGGGTTTCGGGCTTTTAGGGTTTTCGGGATTTACGGTTTTTAGGGTTTTGGGGTTGGGATGTTCCCCCTTATTCTAGCAGTCCTTAAAAAAGGTATTCTAATTGGGGGGGTACTATAATCCATATTAAGGCTGTTGGTATAAGGGGGAACATCCAAGTTTTTGGGGTGTAGCTTTCTTTGGGTTTAGGCCTTCGGGTTTGAAGTTCAGGCAGCCGCTCAAAGCCACGGGGCCATGGGGATACCGCCTACTAGCTCATACGTAAACCCTAAACCCTAAACCCTAAACCCTAAACCCTAAACCCTAAACCCTAAACCCTAAACCCTAAACCCTAAACCCTAAACCCTAAACCCTAAACCCTAAACCCTTTTTGGCCTTGACTTTGAACCCACAGCCGAAAACATGCCCAAACCAAAACTCTATGGGTAGTTTCATGGGCCCTTAAGATGGTCCCTTACCGTCTTGAAAGGGTGCTGATGTAGTATAGGGTACATATATATATATATACATACAAAGTTGGTATAGGGTCCCCTTTTAAGGGCCCATACTACAGGACCATGTAACTACCCTAAGAAAACCATATCCCTGAAACCCCTAAACCCTAGTCCCTAAACCCTAAACCCTGAACCCTAGATCCCTCGTCACCACTCCGGGGAGTCCTACACCCCAAGCCTTCAAACCCCCAAAACCTCCCAACCCCCGAACCTTCAATCTTAAACCCTAAGCTCTAAACCCTAAACTCGAAAGTCCCAGGAGTGGCCGGCATGTTCGCTGCCAGCGCCGTCGCCAGCGAGGCGGCTCCGGCCGAAGAGGCGCGGGAAGGGCGGCCATGGCGTTAGCAATTGGGGGGTGGGAGGTTTTGGGGTTTAGGGTTTAGGGTTACGGGGGGTTTAGGGTTTAGGGTTTAGGGTTACGGGGGGTTTGGGGTTTGGGGTTTGGGGTTTGGGGTTTGGGGTTTAGGGTTGAGGGGTGGTTGGGGTTTGGGGTAGGGTACAGGCACTTGTCTGCCGAGGATTCGGGTTTGGGGTTTGGGGTTCAGGGTTTGAGGCTACATGTTGTTGTAGCCCCAGTTGCAGTACACATAACCCTGCTTGTAGGCGCGAAGCAGAACACTGCCAGGAAAACCCTAAACCCTAAACCCTCAAACCCTCAAACCCTCAAACCCTCAAACCCTCAAACCCTCAAACCCTCAAACCCTCAAACCCTCAAACCCTCAAACCCTCAAACCCTCAACCCTCAACCCTAAACCTGAAGCCGGCACCCTAAGTCGCAACTGCATTCTGCCGGAGGCGGCTGGTGGTGATGATGGCGGCGACTGGGACACTGAAGGCCTCTGTGTTTAGGGTTAGGGTTTAGGGTTTAGGGTTTAGGGTTTAGGTTAGGGTTTAGGGTTTAGGGTTAGGGTTTAGGGTTTAGGGTTTAGGGTTTAGGGTTTAGGGTTTAGGGTTTAGGGTTTAGGGTTTAGGGTTTAGGGTTTAGGGTTTAGGGTTTAGGGTTTAGGGTTTAGGGTTAGGGGGTTGAGGGCCGTAAGCCTAAAACCACATCTTGGGGATGGGGGTGACTCTAGCAATACGGAGTTACAACCTATGTTGGGATCCTTGTACATAGCCCTGCTGTAAGTACCTATGAACGTTGATGTAAACTTCATCCCAAACGCCAAAGCCTCAAGGGACTAGAGGAGGGACCCTTAAAGGGGACCTTAGGGGTTCCTTGAGGCTTATTTTGGGGCTACTTCATAGGTAAAAGGTACTTTGCAAGGTCTATATAAGGGTTATAGAGGGGAATAAGAGAAAGGGTAAACCCTAAACCCTCAACCCTAAACCCTAAACCCAAAACCGCTACACCCTGAACCCTACACCCCTTCGAGGGGGTCCCTCCTACCCCATAATTAAGCCCCAACCACGAGCTGTTGCCTGGAGGCATGTTCGGAGACTTCGATCTCGGTGACTGGGGAGGCGACGACGACTAGCTGTGGCCAGCAAAAGATTGTGGGGCTCTGAAGGGTTTAGGGTTTAGGGTTTAGGGTTTAGGGTTTAGGGTTTAGGGTTCTTAAGGGAGGGGGGGGGGGGGGGTTCAAGGAAGGAGGGGTATGTAACCCAAGGTTCCTGAATACTCCCCACCACTCCCTAAGGTTCCCTAAGCTTCCCGAAGGTTTCCTAGGTACCTACCCACCATGAACCCCCCTCGCTTAAGAACCCTAAACCCTAAACCCTAAGCCCTAAACCCTAAACCTTGAACCCTGAACCCCAAATCCTAAATCCAAAACCTCAAGCCCCTAAACCTTGAGGTTTCTTGGAGCCGTTTTAGAGTGGGGAAGGGATTTCCCTAAACCCTGAACCCTGAACCCTAAACCCTATAAACCCTAAACCCTGAACCCTGAACCCTGAACCCTAAACCCTAAACCCCAAACCCCAAACCCTAAACCCTAAACCCTAAACCCTGAACCCTAAACCCTAAACCCTAAACCCTAGGCTTTCCGGGATCTGGGGCCCAAGGCCAAGGAGATGAGCCCCGAAACCCTGAGCCCTCAGCTGATATGGGTATTCCCCCAAGATTGGGTTTAGGGTTTAGGGTTTAGGGTTTCGCGTTTGGGGTTTAGGTTTTGGGGTTTGGGGTTTAGGGTTTGGGGTGTTGAGGGTTTAGGGTTTCGGGAAAATACCCCAAAAAGAACAGAACTCTTCTAACGGGAATTATGGGAATCCCGGAACCCCCACCCATGTAGAGCTTAGGAAGGTTGACGTGGTTCAGGGGTTCTAAAGATGACGCCTCTGGAGGTTTTAAGGATGGCTTACGTTTAGGGTTTAGGGTTTAGGGTTTAGGGTTTAGAGTTTAGGGTTATGGATGACACCCGGCCCTACAAGAGCTACTCGGGCAGTCCTAGTCAAGCTGCTTGGCTCAACAAGGGGAGCACCTCAAAAGACGCCGGTCAGTTGAAGAGTCAGTTGTGTCTCAAAGGCCCCAAGCCTTATACCCTAAGACAGCACATAGTCTGCAACGAGCCCTAAGCCTCAATCCCCTCAATACCTGAGTACCCCCTAAGACCCTCATAGTATAGGGGCCTTAGTAATTCGAATAGGGGTTTTGGGGGGTTATTATAGTAGAATGATATAGGAGCCATAACCCAATACTATCAGAATTTATTCCCGACCCCTTACAGTACCCCCTTCGTGAGGGCACGAGGCCCCCGTCGCCTGAGAGTGGAAATCGCCATTGGGGCGCCGTAGTTTCGATGGGCATGAAGCGAAGCCATGACATCTCCATGGAGGCCGGGGATGTTAAGGTTTAGGGTTTAGGGTTGAGGGTTTGCGGTTTAGGGTTTAGGGGTTCCGGGCTTCGGGGTTTAGAGCTTCGGGTTTTGAGGGTTTAGGGGCCAGGGCTTGAGGGTTGAAGGCTTTAAGGGCTCGGGGTGAGGCGCCTGGTTGAGGGTTTAGAGGGTGGTTTAGGAGTTTGCATTTCTTTGTTTTTGCAGGGTTGAGGGCTCAGGGCTTTCTTCTTGGAGGCCGTCAGACCCTAAACCCTAAACCCTAAACCCATACACCCGAAACCCTAAACCCTAAACCCTACCCCAAATGGGATGTATGTTCCCCCTGATACTAACAGTCCTTAATAGGGTTTAGGGTTTTTTAGGGTTAAGGGTGGTTTCGGGTTTAGGGTTTAGGGCTTCCAGGAACAACTACATGGTGATCCCGCAGCCCAGAATTCCGGTTGTAGGCTCGGGAAAGGACTTGCCTTGGATGAGGACCCCAATGGCAAACCAATGGTGTTAATCCGCTCATGGCCGTGGACACCGGCAAGTCTGAGAGTTTGGTACCTGCGTTGACTGTGTCCCTAAGCCCTAAACCCTAAACCCTAAACCCTTTCGTGCAAGCTGGTCTGCTTGTACGGAACATGATTGCAGGCCACAGGTGTTATGAACTTTGCGTGTGCATCATATCGCACGACGCTTGCAGGCTTAGACTTCTACCCTAAAACCTAAACCCTAAGCCTAAGCCCTAAGCCCTAAGCCCTAAGCCCTAAGCCCTAAGCCCTAAGCCCTAAGCCCTAAACCCTAAACCCTAAACCCCTGATGCCAGTCGACGCTGGGCGTCTCGACCGTGCTCTGCTGCAGCTGCGGCGTGCCGATGGTTCCGAACCAGCCGGAACCTTAGGGAGCCTTCTTGGGTTTTGAGGTTTAGGGCTTGGGTGGTTTAGGGTTTGGGGTGGTTGGATGTTTTCGGGTTTTGGGCCGTGGCTGGGGGTTTATATAGGGTCGAGGGTTTTGAGGGTGCAGGATTTGCCCCTTCTCGAGGGAGGGCTGTGCTTAAGGTTCGGGAGGGTTGCTGGTTTCGATCGGGGAGCACTGCTACGCGGTTTTAGGTCGGGGAGTATTACCCTGGTTCTGTTTTTGATTGTGATTTTGGGTTTAGGTTTTCGGATTCACGCGCGCTTTGGGATCTCGTGGATTAAGGGTTGATCAAAATCCAGGGTTTGGGCATTGGTGGGGTTTGGGGTGGTCAGCGTGGTCCAGGGTCTCTGGGACGCACCCCGAAAATCTAAAAGCCTCAACCCTAGCCCTAAACCCTAACCCTCTAAACCCTAAGCCCTCAACCTTAAGCCTAGGCCCGCAGCCTCTAAACCTTAAGCCCAGCTCCGAGCCGAAAAAGTCGTCTCACTGAGCCTGATTTTAGTTTAGGGTTTAGGGTCAGAAGATTTTTCGGATTCAGGGAACGTCAGGGCTGAGGGTTCAGAGCTCACGCTTTCGGATGGTAGGGCTTAGGATCCCGGATTTTAGGCTTAAAATCTTAGGGTTTAGGGTTTAGGGTTTAGGGTTTGGGGTTTAGGGTTTAGGGTTTAGGGTTTGGGGTGCTTCAGGACTTAGGGTTTGTCGTTGAGGGACTCTCGCTCGCAAACGGGCCGCTTCCGAGGAGCATGCGATGCGCCCAATGCCTCAAGGCAGAGGCAGCGTGCTTGGCTTTCACACGCCCTAAACCCTAAACCCTAAACCCTAAACCCTAAACCCTAAACCCTAAACCCTAAACCCTAAACCCTAAACCCTAAACCCTAAACCCTAAACCTAACCCTAAACCCTAAACCCTAAACCCTAAACCCTAAACCCTAAACCCTAAACCCTAAACCCTAAACCCTAAACCCTAAACCCTAAACCCTAAACCCTAAGTTAGTGGGTCGGGTTCGTGCCTGGGGCTCCAGGTTCTTTGGCTGCTGGGTGTTTTCCAGTTTAAGGACTTTGGGTTTTGGACTTTGGTGCTTTATAGTGTACATATACAGTCGTGATTTGGGTTGCGAGACTTGGGGGGGGGCATGGGACAGGATTGAAGAGAGAAACAGCCTCAACGTCGCCAAGAATTTCGGCCCTATCTGGGCGCCGAGATCAGCTTCAAAGTCTGGAAGCCCACGTTTTGGCCCTCTGGACCAGATAGGGCTGGAAACGCCTATTCCCGCCCTAAACACCCATTTCGGCCCCATCGGGGCCAGATAGGGCTGGAACCCCTCTTTCGGCCCTATCTGGGCCGCTCCACGTCGTAGTCCACGATGTTGAGCTCCAAATCTTGATACCAGACTCGTTCCCGAAGCTCTTGAAGCCTGAAACCCTGAGCCGATCCTGCATGAACTAAGCGACTGGCAAAATAGCCTATTTTTCTGGACGAGAGTCTCAAATCTCGTCTTCCTGCGCCGGCCAGACTCTAGTTTCTTGTTCAATAACATTTCTTATCACAATGCACTTGTACACTAAAACCCATAAACCCTGAATGTCCGGCCCTTGATTTGTTATGGGCGTGGAAGCCGTAAAGCCCCCAAGCCCCGAGTCCTGCAAGGTCTCCATCACCGATGGCATCTCGCGGCAAGTGGCATGGACCCAAGCATGCTCATCCCCCCCCCAATTGGAGGAAGCAACTCTCAAAGTTCCACCCCCCCAAACCCTAAACCCTAAACCCTAAACCCTAAACCCCAAACCCTAAACCCCAAACCCCAAACCCTAAACCCTAAACCCTAGACCCTAAGGGTTGTTTAAACAACCGTAAACCCTAAACCCTAAACCCTAAACGCTAAATTTAAGAGCCTCCGGCTCAAGCCGCCGACCCCGCTGGAGCATAGTTGAGAGGTCTATCCCAGCCTGCTCGGCAGAGTTCTGTGAAACGTTTGGGGGGGGTAGGGGGAGAATCAGGACAAGCTCAAGCCAAAAAGAGTGGTGGGGGGGGGGTGGGGGTGGGTGGGGGGGGTGTGGGGGGGGGGGGGGGGGGGGGGGGGGGGGGAGGGGGGGGGTGGGGGGGGGGTGTGGGGGGGGGGGGGGGGGGGGGGGGGGGGGGGGGGGGGGGGGGTGGCGAAAACGCTGATTTTGCTGAGGGCGCCCCTACCCCCCTGTGCTGAACCGCCTGTTTACGCTGTGCGGGTGGTGCGGTCCTCCACGAAAAAATTGTGCACCGACCCCCCCACCCCCCCCCCCCCCCCCCCCCCCCCGCGTTTTGGGGGGTAAGGAGGGAAAGAGGGAGGTTTTCACCTCCTTTTCCCATCCAACACGCCGCCAGGGTCGGCGGACCCTAAACCCCAAACCCAAAACCCCAAACCCCAAACCCTAAACCCTAAACCCCACCAAAAAGGGGGTTTCGCGATGAGCGTGGGCTCCTCCAACCGTCATGCAGTTCTACGCCTTCCTACATGAAGGCTTCATAGGATTTAGGGTTTAGGGTTTAGGGTTGAGGGTTTGGGGTTTGGGGTTTAGGGTTTAGGGCTCTGCGCGGGGGCCTTGAGCCCTAAACCGTCCTAAGCCTCCCCAACTCTAAGGGAAGCTCTATAACATATGCGCTGTAAAAGGCTCATTCCCTACTACTAGTAAGAACCAGCAAGAAGAACCTGTGCCCCGGGCCCTAATCTCCTCGAGGCCTAAAAGCCCCATCTCAAGGTTCTGCAGCGTTGCCGCAACTGCAACCGGTGCCCCCGATGTCGCGGGGGTGTGGGGTTCGGGGGGGGGGCAGCCGGGGGTGGGGAGGGCTTGTGGCGTTAGAGCTCTTAGGGTTTTGGGGTGTAGTGCTTGGAGCAACCCAAACTCCTAAACCCAACCCTGTCAGCCGGAGAGTTTTCCTACAAACCCTAAAGGCTTGCTTTACCTGCGTGGCTCAAGAGCCTCCGCCCGCGCAGCTTTCAGGCTCGCTTTTGCATGGTGTGGCCGTTGGTGCAAGGGTTTTCATGAACAAGTCCTGGAACCAGCGTGTGTTCATCATCATGGCCTTAGCACCTCTTTGGTTGGGTCGCCTATGTCATATGTCCGTAGCCATGCTCATAGACGCTTCTCTTCCACGAAAGCTCATTCCCATGCTTGGGACCTGGGCTCGCGTGAACTTACACACACACACGCAGCGACCTGAAACCCGAACCCTAGACCACGAGCCACTTCAAATCCGCCCCGAGGCCTAAACCCTGGAAGCTCCAAAGCCCTTGTGAGACAACATCAGAGGGTGATGTAGAGCCATGTGCGCTGCTGCCGTCACTGAGGCAGAGGCGGAAGACAAGGACACATGAGGTTTGGGGTTTGGGTTTCAGGTTTGGGGTTTAGGGCTTTGGCTGAGGGGTTTACGTTTTCCTCGAAACCCTGCGCCCCCCGATGGGCTGAGATGCTTGGTTCCACCCCTGAACTATGCCTTAGCCCCGAATCCCTAGAGCACCAAAAGCCTTGCAGCCATCCTAAACCATCGTAAGCCAAAAAAACCCGAGCCCTAAACCCTAAACCAAGCCCTCAACCATCCTGGTCGCCTAAACCCGTTCCATAAAGCCCGATGCCACCCGAAACCCTTAACTCAAAGCCTCAACCCATGCAAAGCCCGCCCTAAGCCCCTGAAATCCTAAAGCCCCCCAAAAGCTTCCTAATATCCCCAAAGTCCCCGAAAAATCTGCCCTTAAAACCTCCTGAAATCCCGAAAGCCCGTCGAGCCACCCCAGGACGGCTCGCACCCTGCGCCTGGAGAAGCAGTCGCGGCGTGAGACTCAATGCAGCCAAGCGGGCGCATATTGGGTTTCCGAAAATAGGGGTACCCTGTTTGGGGGCTCCTGTAAACGGATTATATAGTATTTTGGGTACCCCTTATTTTCGGAAATCCCCAACTCTGTGAATCAGGTTCAAGCCTGTCACCTCAGCACAAGTCGTTGCAAGATTTCATCTTTCTTCATGTTGCTTAAACCGCGCTTTGTCTTTGCTCTGGCTTTGCATGGTTTTGCTCAGCTTGTTCTACAGCTTAGCTTCAGCTTGTTTTGCCTGCAGATGCTCAGGGGTTCCAGGGTTTTACCCCTAGAAGGTTCCCCCAATGTAACCTTTGCAAGGGCGCCGTTTCAGGGTTCAGGGTCACACCAAGGATGGTTCAGCCTGCTCGTTAGAAGGCTCAGGGGTTTGATATCCTAAACCCTAAGCCCTAGATCCTAAACCCTAAACCTTGGTTTCGGGGGCTCAGGTTTCATTAAGGGTTTGGGGTCACTGTGTAGGGCAGACGGCTTTCGGTTGCCACTATCGTTCCAAAGCCCTCCCTCGAACCCGAACTAGGGAGCCACAAAGCCGGGCGAGGAAAGTCACCAGGGTCTCGGGGTTTAGGGTTTAGGGTTTTGGGTTAGGAGCTTTAGGGCTTTAGGGCTTAGGGGCCTTAGGGAAGTATAGGGTTTAGGGCTTTGGGGTTGGGGGTTTGGTAAGGTTGAGCACCCAGGTTTGGAGTTTAGGGTTGAGGGGTCTTAGGGTGCAGGGCTCCTCTCTTTGGCTTCCCTGAATCTTAAAGCTCGGTGGTCTTTTGGGAGCCCCCTGAGCAGCTTTTTTTCTTTTACAAGCAAGGCCACATAGAGACGCGATTCTCGGAAATCGGCCGCGTAGCATTTTGCCTGCAGCGTGTAGGTCTGCAAAGGGTCCGCGTAGCCAAGTCTACGCAGTACCTCCGCGTAGGTCCGCGTAGGTTGTTGGTGTATAGTATGATATATATATATATATATATATATATATATATATATTTTTTTTTTATTTATATACATACGTATAATTATATTTATACATATAAATTCCGCGTAGGCGCAGCGTAGGCTCCGCGTAGCCCGCGCGAAGGCGTAGGTGTCGTTTTCAACGTCGTAGCCCATCCATCAACATCCCAGATCGGACTGGGTTGGGCAGAAAATCGGGCTTCGGCAGGAAATCGGGCAGAGTTGGGCAGAAATCTTCGGGTGTAGGGTTTAAGATTAGGGTTAAGGGCTAAACGCTGCGTTTGCGCTTTTGCCGCGTAGGTCCGCGTAGGCACACGTCAACAACATACTCCGCGCGTAGGCCGCGCGGCTACTAAACATGAGTTCACGCGTAGGCCCGCGTAGGAGGTCAATGCTAGTAGAACACCCCACACAATTAAATAAAAGCATGCTCCCCGATACCCCTATACCCGTAAACCCCAAACCCTATACCCTAAACCCTAAACCCTTAACCCTTAACCCTTAACCCTGTAACCCTGAACCCTAAACCCTAAAGGCTTGCTTTGATGAAGCCCTCTGGGCGAAGAATGGTCTTGAGCCCCTTAAGATCCCGGCGCCCTTTGCGCGAGGGCTAGGGTGTACTGGAGGCCTTGGCGCGCTTATGGGTTTAGGGTTTAGGGTTGTGCCCCTCAAGTTTTGGGGTTTAGGGTTTAGGGCTTCGGGTTTAGGGTTTCGCCTAGTGGTTCACGTCCAAGTGGTTCACGTCCATTTCTACCGGAGGTTTTACATGGCTTCACCAAGAGGTGGATAGAGCCCCAGGGCTGTTTAGAAAGGATGTCCCTGGGCGCAAGTTTTCGCCTCCAGCGAATCTGAGAGCCGAAGACTGCAGACTCCACTGCCATGGCTGGAGCTCTGGCAGTGCCGTTGGGGCGGCCCTCCACGCCGTCGCGGCAGGCATGGACGGCAGTGGCACCCGACGGGCCAGAGGCTCCAAGGAAGAGGAGCACCTTGATTTCGGTGGCACAGCAGCTGGAGCACCTGGAGCAACTGGAGCAGCTGGAGAGTGAAGAAGGTGGTAAGGGTCTACGAGGTGCGTGGACCAGGGGGCAAGTGGTGCTTTTGGTGTGTCTTGGATTGCAACAAGTTGCTTTGTAGATGGTTGCACGGGAGAAATGCCTCACATCACCTGACTGTGCAGAACAAAGAACGCCTCACTCTATCTCAGGTATACGTTGGTGCGCGTCGTGGCGAATGTGTGCGTCGCTTCTGCTCCATTCTTAACGGATCAATACTATGATGACACTTACAACCCTCAGCATGGCTGGCAAAGAATCCAGGTGAAAACCCCAAGTGTCTTCGAGGGCCTAGATCTGTATGCCGACGCAGTTGCGAGGCCCGTGATCACCGGCCTGGGGGTCTACTGCTTTTTGCAGAAGAACACCCGCTTTTCTGCGAAGTTGAGACTCCATGTTTGGAGCAGGAGGATCATCTACTTGCTGGCCGTCTGCATAACCGACCAAAGCATCGCATTCGGCATGGAGAGACTTGACGACATCCAGACTCCTACGCCTCATGAGACCATTCCTTCTGCTCTCGCGCTGGTGTCGTCTACTAGTTGGGTGTTTGTGTCCAATGCGTTGCAGGTGTACATCACGAACCTGAAGCTGCAGGTGTTAGGTTGGCGTTCGCAGGCCAGGATTTGCCAAGCGCTCCTCCTGTTGTCCATTTGTACCGGGACATATGAAATCCTCGATTACTTCGAGTACTTTGACAGCCCTTGGCCGAACTTACTTTCCTGCGTGATTAATGTTCTTGGAATTTTGCTTGTGCAGTGCACTGCCCTGTGCTGGGCAGCCACATGGGCATTACTCCACGGGGGAGGTGATGAAAGCATTAGATGCTCAGCCTTGTGCTTATACGTGAACGGAGTCCTGGCAGTCGTGGGGCCTTTCTTGAGCTATTTCTCTGTGGTGACCATGTGGACAAATTTTCTGTCTCGGCATATCAAACTCTTTGGTCTAATTTACCTTCCCCTGCTTCCCATGCTTGTGGTGACCCTCGACGTCGGCACCCAAGTGCTTGGTACTCTTCTCCTCACTGGGATGATTGGACCAAAGGGTTGGGAACGGCCGATGCAAGCCTTTCGAAAGCTCGCACACCTCTCTGGTTTCGGCCTCGCGTCAAGACGCATCGCTTTTCCGGGAAAGATCAATGCACACGCAACAGAGTGCATTGTATCTTTCCCTGGCAAGTACAGCGCTGAGTGGCTTGGTTTGTGTGTAAGAAGGTGATTTTGCATTTGTGTCCTTACATGTCCTTATGATTCCTAGAAGGGCTTTTTGCCAGCAAATTTTTTGGTTCGCTTCTGAATTTTAAGCCAATCCAAGGTGGGACCAAGCTGTCTCAAGCGTCCAAGAGGAGCAGACTTGTTCGTTGGCCTGTGTTTTCTTGACAGACCGGGCTTCTGGTTTGGGCCGCCACAGTGACTTAGTAGCTGAATGAGTACACTTCACACTCTTTGGGGTACTATAACCCCCTATAGAACTGAAAGTTTACACTTTTTTGGGGCTTATGAACTCAGCAACTAAGGTGATAACCCCGACACACCTGGGCAGTGTTGGTGCCGGATGATTTACGGATCTTTGCCGGCACAGACGTATCTCAGCGTGGTTGACATGAAAGACGACACTGATGGACCTATGACCCCAGAGCAGCTTTGGCTTCATTGTTTATTTCTATGGTGTGTTTGGAAAGGTCATTGAGACGCGCACATATGAAGAACAATTTCGATATATTTAAAAAGATCTCACTGATCGGACCCCATGATATCGCTCGCTGTTATTGGGAGAAACCGTCAAAACCAAAATCGACATGCCTAATCTGGTGCACGGTAGGAAAGGGGTATCAAACGCACAAACTATTCTGTCCAAAGAATTGTGAGGAAGTTGGCCTTCAAGAAAGTGGATGCAGATGCCATGGGTCAGGTGTTGGTGATCAAAGATGATCAGCTGGAATTGGAATGGGAGGCTGAGCTAGCACACGCGATGGACGATGCAGAGACTTGGTAGCCCAGTGGTACCATATACTCTTTTTTATTGGTTATGGGCTCCCTTATAAAATGACCCTAAACCCTAAACCCTAAACCCTAAACCCTAAACCCTAAACCCTAAACCCTAAACCCTAAACCCTAAACCCTAAACCGTGGATTATGGTTACTGGGCTACCAAGGAGACCAGATGCAACAAGAATGAAGGCAGAGCCCCCTGGGGATGTCATTGGTTTGAGGAGCCGCTTGGGGTCAAAGCTTGGGTTTAGGGTTTAGGGTTTAGGGTTTAGGGTTTAGGGCTTATAGGGTTTAGAGTTTAGGGTTAGGGTTTTGGGTTTAGGGTTTAGGGTTTAGTTAGGGTTTGCGGTACTCTGTTTTGTCAGTTTCTTGCGGTTGATAGCCAAAACAAGCCTTCGCTGTATTTTGGAAGCTCCTTTCTCGGACAACCAAGGTGGAGAGTGAATGTCGATGCAGCTGCTAAGGAGGGGCAGACGCTTCACGTTTTTTACTTTGAAGGTCGCTCGGCGTTCAATGTTGGTGTTGCGTCAACCAGCTCCTTGCGTTTGTGTTGCGACATGTTGTGGTCAAGCCATGTTCAGAAACACAAAACAACTGGCACCGTACTCACTTTGGGGTTCCAACCATGGAACCTCTTCCTCTGAACTACGCCTAGATGAAAACTGCAGTTACCCAATAACTACACGGTGGGCCTAAGGTAAAGTGGCCTGTGGCAAGCTGCCCTGGGAGAAGTTGTGCGATGCGGAGGCCAAAGGAGAAGCGCGGAAGAACACCGGCCTCGGTGCCTCACAGACGGCTGAGGTGGCCTACTTGGAGAAATTGGGCTCCTTTGGCTGCAGCTGTTTCGGTTCGAAGCTGGTTAACGATTGGCAACTGGTGGCATTCTTTGGGTCATGATTGGTCATGACTGCGCTACCAGTACTTGTGGCAGTGTCGGGATTCTGCGACTCATTTGACTTGCATCCGTGAGGTTTGACGTATGTGGAACACGACATCAGAGAGTTCGAAGATTTTTTGCTGAAGCCGCTTGGTTGCAAGGGCGATCGGGTGCTGGAGAAGGCGCGCAACTGGCCTGCTCTTGCGGCTTCCTTTCGTCTTCGTTTGAAACCATGAGCACCCCTCAAAGCCGTGATTTCGATCCTAGGTCAGCTCCCCCGACTGGAGAAGCACCACCTGAGCCATCGTGCCAAAGTCCGCTCGATGAAAGGCTCTTGACGCGAAAAAGGGGCTCTTTCTGACTGCTATAGGGGTCGGAATAATTACTAATCGTGTTCCCTTATGGTCCCTGTGTAATTATACCATAAGAACCCGCACAACCCTATTCTAATTCTTCAGGCCCCTATACTTGTCGGTTGACGTTGGGGGGAGGAGTGTGTTGGATTTCCTTCACTAATTGGACCTTCAACGATGCAAATGCTGAGTTCAAGTCGTGTCTTTGTTGGGGTAAGATGCACTTGTGAGATGCATCTTGAAGGTTTAGAGTAGCGGGTACGTGTTTGGGACTGCTTGGTCTTTGTGGCGCTAGTTCTTGCCAGAACTTAGTCTAGCTAGTCACTGATTGGGATGTTCCCCCTTATACTAACAGGGACTGAAGTACCCCCTGTGATAAACAAAGGCGGGAGCATCCCAACCCCAAACCCCAAACCCCAAACCCCAAACCCCAAACCCCAAACCCCAAACCCCAAACCCCAAACCCCAAACCCCAAACCCCAAACCCCAAACCCAAACCCCAACCCCAAACCCCCAACCCCCAACCCCCAACCCCAAACCCCAACCCCAAACCCTAAACCCAACAAACCCCAACCCCCCCAAACCCCAAACCCCAAACCCCAAACCCCAAACCCCAAACCCCAAACCCCAAACCCCAACCCCCAAACCCCAAACCCCAAACCCCAAACCCCAAACCCCAAACCCCAAACCCCAAACCCCAAACCCCAAACCCCAAACCCCAAACCCCAAACCCCAAACCCCAAACCCCAAACCCCAAACCCCAAACCCCAAACCCCAAACCCCAACCCCAAAACCCCAAACCCCAAAACCCAAACCCAAAACCCCAAACCCTAAACCCTAAACCCTAAACCCTAAGCCCAAACCCTAAACCCTAGACACCCTGTATAAACCCTAAACCCGAAACCCTGAACCTGTGGCACATCCCAAGGCGCTGAATCGTTAGGTCAACTTGACGCCCAGGCGAAGAAGCAGCGATGCGAGCCAGACAAGTGGGTGGACGGACTGCTGCGGTGCGCCCCTCAGCCCTAAGCCCTAAACCCTAAACCCTATGCCCTAAACCCGAAACCCAAAACCCTTGTCCCGAAGCCCTAAACGCTAAAAGCCTAAACCCTAAACCCGAAACCCTAAGCCCTAAACCTTAAACCCTAAACCCTAAACCTTAAACCCTAAACCGCAAACCCTAAGCCTCGAGACTTTTCTGAAAAGCCCATCAGCCCTGGAGTCCATCAACCTCCAAAAGCCTTTGGGTTTAGGGTTTAGGGTTTAGGGTTTAGGGTTTGTAGGGTTTAGGGTTTAGGGTTTAGGGTTTAGGGTTTAGGGTTTAGGGTTTAGGCTTTTTTTAGGGTTTAGGGTTTAAGGTTTAGGGTCTGGGGTGAAAAGCCCTGAAGCCCGTAAACCCCTAAACCCTAAACCCTGGAGCCGCTAAAGCCTGATTCCCATGAACCTTACCTTATAAACCCGAACCTCCAGTAGACTCCCTGAAACCTGCAAGCCGCCAAGAAGAAGGTTTGGTGATCCGAAGTATGGGCCCTTAACTTTGTTTCCTGTTATATAGCCCTCATATACACTATACATAGTAAGGGCCCCATACTTCGGATCCCTTTCAATCCCTTTAAACAAAAGCACGGAACCATACTAAGGGCCCATGGATCCAACCTTAGAAAGGTACCTTGGGTTTAGGGTTTATAGGGTTTATAGGGTTTATAGGGTTTAGGGTTTAGGGTTCAGGGTTCAGGGTTTACGGAGGTACGTGTGGCGAGACCGGCTGGTCGTCTTCTCGGACCCCAGCGGAGTGTTGGCCTCGGCCCCAGCCGGAAGTTGGAGCTTTGGAGGCTTGAAGGGTTTAGGGTTTAGGGTTTAGGGTTTAGGGTTTAGGGTTTGGGGGCTTTAGGGCTTTTTGGCACTAAACTCTGCGCCCTAAGCCCTTGTTTAGTTGCTTTCGAGGTTTGCCCGGTGTCTACCCGCAGACTATCCCCTGTCGTGCCTGGACCTCCGGTTTCGGATTTAGGGGGACTAGGAAGCATCTCCCATCTTCATGGCTCTCTTGAAAACAAGGACTCTACTACATCAGAGCAGAGACGCCCGTCTCAGAAGGGTCCACACATTCCTCCCAAAGAGACTCTCAAGCATGTCGCCATCACCGTAAATCATACACCCGAAGTCCAGGCTTCCTAGAAGAAGCCCTCAAGGGCACGGGTACCGAGCTCCCATGAAACAAGGAAGTCGCACATGCGAATCTTCATGCCAAGTGGCGGGGGGCTTTTCCCAGCCAAGGGAATCGAAGTTGCACATCCCGAAGGCCAAAAACCCCTGGAGCCTCCCAAATTGGGATGTTCATCCTTATACTCACAGTCCTTAATGGGGATTATAGGTACCCCCGATTCTAATCCCTACTAAGGAGCTCTTAGCATGAGGGGGAACATCCCAACTCCCAAGCTACTCAAAATCCCCAAACCTCAAAGCTCATCAACCCGAGGCTCTGAGCCCAGAGCCCTGAACCCTGAACCCTAAACCCTAAACCCTAAACCCTAGACCCTGAACCCTAAGCCCTAACCCTAAACTCTGAACCCTAAACCCTAAACCCCAAACCCTAAACCCCAAACCCTAAACCCTGAGCCCTAAGCCCTAAGCCCTGAACCCGCCTTCGAAGCCTACAGGCCCGTGGTGTGGGCAACGGCATGTGGTCTGCCGGGGAGGCGGAGTGTGGGCCCGGGGGTTTAGGGTAGGTCGAAGTAAGGTTTAGGGTTTAGGGTTTAGGCTTTAAGGTTTAGGGTTTAGGGTTTAGGGTTTAGGGTAGGTGGAAGTAAGTTTTAGGGTGTAGGGTTTAGAGTTTAAGGTTTGGGGTTTCGGGTTTCGGGTTTATTTCTAAGTAGGGTTTAGGGGTTTGGGACTTGGAGTTTGGGTTTGGGGCTTGGGGTTTAGGGTTGTTCTCAGGAGTTTCCGGAGTCTAGGGTTGTTTACGGGCCAGGGATTGAGTTACCATGATATGGAGCCATATGATGACGTATCACAGATTGTTTTGGGCGTTTAGGGTCAAGGGTTTGTGTATCCTGATAGGGTTACTTCATTTTCAGTTTCTCACAGCAGTTTTAAAGCTCGTTTCAGGGGCAGGCAGAGCGTTGTTGCTTTTTGGTGTCGGGCTACCTCGGGGGGATTGATGGGGGTGTGTCTTAAGGAGGGTGACTACAGGTCTCACCGGAGGTGAGGTGCACATGGTCAGCTCGCGGAACTATGATCCCTTTTTTCTTACGCTCCCTGCTTTTGGCACGGCCCCTTGTGCTTTGGGCACCTTCTTGTAACTTCCCATCAGCCTTCAAGTAGGATGTAGACAGCCCTAAACCCTAAACCCTAAACCCTAAACCCTAAACCGGGCCAAGCCCTACACCCAAACACTCTTAAACCCCCAACCCCAAACCCCAAACCCCAAACCCCAAACCCCAAACCCTAAACCCTAAACCCTCAACCCTAAACCCTAAACCCTGAACCCTAAACCCTCAAGGGTGTGGAGGTCCTGACGCCCCAGACCCTCGACCCTGCAGTCTAGAACCCCAACAAATGGAGCAGAAGGTGCTTTCCGACTACTTTGTGGACCATCCTGAGCTGTGCAGGCCTTTTGTTTAGGGTTTAGGGTTGAGGGTTTAGGGTTTAGTTTTTTTTTTTTTTTTTTTTTTGGGGGGGGGGGGGGGGGGGGGTGTGCGAAAATAAGAGGGACCCTCGAAATAGGCCCCAAGTAGTAGGATCCCCTCATAGTAAGGACCCCCAATAAGGTACCCCTAAATTCTGCAAACTCCCAGATTGTTTAGGGTTTGGGGCTTAGGGTTTAAGCGCTCAGGGTTTGAGGTTTAGGGTTTAGGGTTTAGGGTTTAGGGTTTAGGGTTTAGGGTTTAGGGTTTAGGGTTCAGGTAGTTGGGAATGAGAAGTACTAGGGCTGCTATAACTTCTCAGTGGCGACGGCTCCTCAAGCCAAAGTGCCCTAAACCTTACTTCCTAAGCCCTAAACCCTAAGTCCTAAACCCTAAACCCTAAACCCTAAACCCTAAACCCTAAACCCTAAACCCGAAACCCTAAACCCTAAACCGTCGAGGCACGGATTCGTGGAGGCCCAGAAGGCAGAGGCCAAGGTTGGCCGAAGTAAAGGCCGCGGAGGAACGGGTGTGCAAGCCCAGAGCCCGCTTGGCAAATAAGTCCCCGGAAAGTCCGGCAAGTCAGGGTTTAGGGTTTAGGGTTTAGGGTTTAGGGTTTAGGGTTTAGGGTTTCAGTCGGCAAGCGCTTCACACATCATCTGGCGAGGGCCTGCAGTACGCATGTGTCCACGCTGGCGAGCTGAAGCATGTGCCCAAGAAGCACCAGGCATCCTGCACCTGCGGCTGCGCTATGCCTAAATTCTAAACCCTAAACCCGAAACCCTAAACCCTAAACCCTCAGGCATCGAGACGATCCCACGTGCCCACGCGCGCGAGTCATTCTTCACATGAAGGATTTTTAGGGTGGAGTGTGGAGAGTTTGGTCTAAAGGTGGAAGAACGCATACTGCTCAGAGCTGATGGACCCTGAACCCTGAACCCTAAAGCCTAAACCCTAAACCCTAAACCCTTGAAGCTCCTTCAGCGAGCGTCATGCTCGCAACTCGCAAGTCTTGAGCATGCATGAAACACACAACTCAAAGCTCGCGCCCCTGGAGCTGATGGACCATAAACCCTAAACCCCCTAATCCCTAAACCCTAGACAACCCTAAGCAACCCTAAACAGCCCCTAAACAACCCTAAACCCCAAACCCTAAACCCTAAACTAGTTATTGGTCCTCACAGAGCTGTTTTTTTTCTGGTAGCTGTCCGTGGCAGCAGCTGGGCGTTCTTAGCTCCTGAGCCGCTTCTATTTCAACGT